TTATTTTTATTTTTCCCTGTCTTTTTGACATGGTACCCCACCACCACCACCACCACCCTTATTTTGAAAGCATTTTACATTTTGGCACTGCAAGATTATTTAGGTTCATTTTGAATCCTTTCTGTCCCTGTCCTAGAATCTGCCATTTCTCAAAGGACTCCTAGTTTATTAAGTGTGGAATAATAGTTAGAAATCAAAATTTGGTTGCCAAGTGATTGTAATTTAAAACTTCAAAGGGGATATGTTTACAATAGTTGATAAATAGCAAATCAGAAGATACACACTGCCATAAATTCAAAAAGATTACATGCAAAAGGTCATTTTATGTATTACTATTTGTAATATCAAAGGACTACAAGCAAAACATATTTATCTTTGAGGGTCAAATTGCATCCTTGATATATAAATGATATCATATACACATATTATATCCAGAAGATCATTCCACTACATACATTCCCCTTTCCTTTATGCAACTGTATATTCTCCAATTGTAGATATGAGTGAGATATGTTAATGATTATTTATGAAAGGGAATATATAAACATTCATAATTTGCTTATATTGAAAAAAAGGAAAATAAAAACTTTAAAACTAACTATAGTGGGAGAGAGGGCATAGTGTGGAGGAGACAAGGCAGAAGCTGGACTTTATACCTTTGTAACTCTCAGGTTGGATTGAAGTAATAAAGCAACATTAAATCATGAATAAAAAGCAATCCCTAAAAATGGGAAAAAGCAAATAACCGTAATTAAACCAAATTGGTATCCATAAGATAAATAATCAGTTGACTTTAAAGCAATAATTTGCTGAGGTATTCCTGAAGGACAAAATGAGATGAAAAGAAATCTTAACATTTAGTAATCATATTATTAATAGTAATGCTTTTTGGGTTTTTTTGAAACTGTTTTATATATCCTAGGATAAAGCAAATGAGTAATTTTATTAGTGCCATTTATAACCAAGTGATGTTATAAAACCAACATAAAAAATTTAGGAATTCGCATTGGAAAAACTAGTATAAATTCTTAATACATTGTCTCTAAAAATACACATATCCTAGCTAATTTCATTTTTAAAAGTCTTGAAAACAGTGACCGATCCAGTAGTACTGGCTCACTTAATACTACTCTTCTTTAGTTGCAAGATTGTTTCTTCTAAGCTGAATGAGAATCCAATTTGATTTCCAGTTTAAAAAGAAACGTGGCTATTTGATGAGTTACATTTGGCTGCAAGAAATAGGTAAGATAAGCCTAGCTCATCTTGTCAGCCCAGGAAGTGAGGAAGCTATCAAAGACTATTTGAGGTCTTGTCAGAAAGACTGAAGAATTAAAGGATTTCCTATTGGCTAAACATGGGACAGTTTGGGAATCAACAGTGATATTGGCAGTGGATGAAAACTCATCAAATAATTTCAAATCCTTGAGTTAATAAGACTTAAAGTATCAGTCTGTTTTGAAAGGATAGCAATTTAACTTATTTTGAAAACTGACAAATTAAGAAAGGAAATGAAAATGCTTTTCCTATATGACTTGTACCTCAAGGTTAGCAAATGTGATAGGGGAAAGGTTTTTCTTTATAAAAGTAATCCACCTACTAGTGAAGAAATAATATAATGGGTAAATGAAGAATGATAAATATCACCACTTTAATGCTTCTGAATAAAGAGCTGATGGAGTCATATGTTCAGTGGCTGCTTACAAATTAGATATAGAATTTATGGATAAGGCTGAAAATGCCTGAACCCACAGATCAAACTTAACCTCACATGAAAAGAGACACTAAATACTAAGTTTCTTCTGACAGAAATCTATAACTCTTCAAATACGTTCTTGCCAAGAAAAACTGAACTTGAATCTTTGCCTGGAGTTTATAAGATAAATAAGGGACAGAAAAATAGGTTGAGTAATACTGTAGGGGTGCAGTCAGCAAAATCTGGAAAGCAGGAAAACCACCTAATTTATTCCACAAAATAAATTCCAGTGTGAAAAAAAAAGGGAGGGGAAACTTTCAGAATAATGAGAGACTTAAGAAATATGATTCTTTACAGTGCGTAAACCTTGTTTGGATTCTCATTCAGTTTAGAAAAAGTAATCATGCAACTAAAGAAGAGGTAAACTGAACTGGATATTCAGTAATATTTAATACTTAATTTCACATATAATACTGAGGAGTAACTGATGTTTTTAAGGTATGGTACTGGTATTGTGGGTGTTTAAAAATAATGGGTTTATTTTTTTACACGAGTACTTAAGTATTTAGGGATGAAAATTTAAAATGTCTGAGATTGTCTATGGGAAGCTGACTTATTTGAAACAAGATTGGCATGAGTTGATAATTGTGAAGCTGGGTGATAGATACATGGTAATTCATTATATTACTCATTTATATTTGATATTAAGCATAAAAAAACTTGAAAAGGAACTTTAAACTGTTTTATCCTTTGAACATGGTATTTCTACTTAATATACACTAAGAAACAATATAATCTTACCAAGTATCTATATATACATAGTGGTAGGTTTTCTTTTATAAATTGAGAAAGGTGAGGAAAAGAATTCAATGTTTTTAATATCTTACACTTTAATACTATTGTGTTAGTGAGATTTAACATAACAAGGATAACTCTTAGGTGTTCAGATTTTAGGTGTTCAGATACTTAGTGTTATATAAAAAGATCAGTGGTATTGGTTGTTATCCAAATAAGTGAAAAGATCAGTTACTATCTAAGTAAATTTGGTGCTCAGAAATATTTCTTATAGCCAAATTATATTTGTGGATTTTATACGAGAATATATATTCATACATTTCTGATTTGTTTATATATACATCCACCCAGCAGACATATATTGTGCTCTTATTTAGTGCTTGGCACTCAAAGGGTAACAAGTAAATATCCCAACACTCTAAGAACAAATACATGGTAGAACATCAAAGATGGAATACCAAATATCAAAAGAAAACAGAAAACTATAGTGATCATTACATGGTGTGCTCATAGCCAAGGTGGTAGTATGTATAGTATGTTTTGGAAGTGCTGTAGAAGGGTACTTAACTTAATTTTGGCTTTAGAATGGAGTCAGTACTCCCAGCATTTTGTTGGAGGAGTAACCATAAAAAGATTCCCACATTCACTTAGAATTTTGATTTATTTAGAAGGAATTTTAACTAGCTATTCATTCAGAACTGAACAAGAGGTAATTAAGAATATAAGCCCATGAATGCCCTTCCCAAATTCATTCATTCACCCATCTGCTTTTCAAGTGTTGGTTGAGCACCCAACTGTGTATGGTATGGTAGTTACTCTGGAAAAATTGACAGTACCCTCAAGAAGTTTATAAGCAATTAAAGTGATACACTTCTGCCTTTCCTAGAAAATTAGTTCAACTTCATGACTATACCAGACTTAGGTGTATTTTTGTGCTCACCATATACCTGGATCAAAAATCTTGAACATAGCACAAAATGATATTTATTGGTGGACATGACTGTCTCTTCATCCCAGATCTTTTTATTTATTTAGGTAATAAAATACCACTTTAAGGGTATTTTACTTTATTGGTAAGGACTTTGTCTCATCTCAGTCTTCCCTGTACCAGACACATTCTAAGTAAAGCTTATTGAATAAATGAAAGAAAGAAAATACCTAGTGGGTTAAAGGAGATACAAAATTGTGTTTCTGGAAAAGTACCTTTTCTAATGTTTTTGCTGGAATTTCTCTTAGGACCCAAGTAAAATATGATAATTTTTTTTGTTTTAAATTGAAAAGCATTATGCTGTTTTTGGACCTCAGAACCATGTGACCAGAGGTTAAAAATTGTGGCAAAACTGATTTTGATATATCATATTCTTTAAAAGGCAGATTTTTATCATTTCTGTGCAGGAAAACATTTTATTCCACTAGATTACTGGATTTAAAAAATAAGCTTATGGTTGTTCCCGTTTTAAGCATTTTCATTTATATTTAACTTTTGGAATCAGAAGTCTTGCAAACTTTTATGTGTTTCCATTTGAAATACTCCTTCCTCTAGGAAAGGAGAAATTTTATAAAGGGATTAATTTTAATATCGTAGTTTATTTCTTAGAGTAATACCTCCATCTTGTGGTATTTCTGAAAATTACTTCAGAGGATATGAATCTTGAGTTTTGCGGTATACAATATACATAAACTATATTACCTATTGTTTCTCATAAAACCAGATGCAATTACATTAGCAGCTGGGTCTACCATATGTATCAAAAAGTTAATATCCTAGTTTTCAACAATTCAGATGTATACACCATGTGAACATAGGCCTTTGGAATAATAGTAATTTATACAGTCAGCTGTTGAGTCCAGACAGTTTCTAGACTACCTTGACTGAAAATTAGTAATGGAAGAAAAGGTAGTTTCTCAATGAACTATTAATTATTTCACATGTGTCTATACAGAGGTTAGAAGGGTTGTGAGAATTCGTTTCAGATTTATTGTGGGAACTATGACAGATTGAATGATTTTCTCAGAGAAGTGATTACTGATTTTATTTTTTAATAAACTGTATTTTATCATAGCTTAATTAGAATCATTTACATTCCCTAGAATGATAGAACATAGAAACTTGAAGACAAGTAGAAACTACAAATAAATTTCTGCCTTTTACCTGAGAATTTTCAACACATTTAATCTGTTTTCTTCACACAATTTCTGCTTTATATTTACTACAGTTAAACAGTCATTTAAGGGTGTGGACTGTGGCTGAAATTTCTTGTCTTCCTAAGTTTCTAGTCCAGGATTCTGTAGTTGGTAGATTTTGCTCCTTATCTTGGAGGAAGATGGTAGTCTGATTACTTATGCTTTAGCTAAAGCTGTACCAAATCTAATTCCTTTTTCTATTTGTTTGGCTATAGAAAGTTGAAATATGAAATAAACAAGGCTTTAATGATCTGGGGCTTTCTCCTGACTTTTAAGAATTAAATTCTAATGAATTTTGTTTAAAATCTTTTTTGTTTTCTAATTGTAGCCAATCAGATGATGATTCTGGGTCACCTTCAGTCTCTCGCTCTGGCTCGAGTTCTGGAAGCAGTAGTGATGGAAGCAGCAGCCAGTCAGGTACCAGTGACTCTGACTCTGCATCTGAATCGGGCAGTCCGTCAGAGTCCGAGTCAGACACCTCCCGAGAAAACAAGGTTCAAGCAAAACCACCGAAAGTCGATGGAGCTGAGGTAATAAATAAAATATTCAGTGAAAGGTAGATTTCTTCTATTACTTTGGGAAAATTTATAGGACTGGTTTATAGCATTCTTAATCTAGCTTTCAGAAAATACTAATTTTTAATGTTAAAATTTACCTGCAGTGATTCTCAAACTTGTAGTTAAATGTCTGTGGACTAATTGGCTTAGAAGAGAAGCAGTGTATAGCTATAAAACAGCAAGTACAAAATAAACACACAAAATCTTTTCTTCATCCTCATGAGGCAGACATTGCATTTGATAAATATTCACTGTCTCAAGGATAAAAAGTAAAGACTTGGTAAGGTCTTTATTAATTTTCAGTGTCTGATCTCTACTTTCAAGTTATTCAAAGGAGGTATTTTATTGTTAATAGTAGAATTTAATAGAACTCTGCTTTCTTGAAGATAATTGGTAGAATAGGCTAAGGACTATTCTATTTGAAAAAAATACTATAGGATTTACTAAAACTTTTCTATACCTCATAATAGCATATACAGTAGTGTTACTTAGAGTACCTGTTAGGATAAGATCCTTGAGCCAGAATATAAATCAATACGACTTCCTTGGAAAAAATTTTGCTACCAGAAAAAAAAAAAATCAGCTGAACTTTTAAAACTGTACTTACTGACACAGTTGATTTGCATTCTGGCTCAAGTTTTTCATTTTCATGTCACACCAATTTAAAAAAGTTGACAAAACTTTGAGTAGCACTGATGTTGCATATTATTACTTTTTTTTGAAAATAATACTATAAATACTGAAGAACATATTAATATTATTTGTGAAAACACACCATAGATTTTTTTTATATACAACTAAAGCTCAGCATTTTATTTTAATAGTATGTATTACATATGAGTAAGGAAAACAGTCTTATTTTTTATTTGGAGGAAGTGAAAATGTTGGACCTGATTTTCAATAAATTGATTTTTTTCAAAAATAATCTTCCACAAACGTCATTCTTCACTGGTTCACATTTCCATTACAGTTCTGGAAGTCCAGCCCTAGTATTCTGGCTGTGCAGAGATCTGCAGTGCTCAAACAGCAGCAACATGCCTCATCAAATAGTGGATCAGAAGAGGTGAGTTTTCATTAAGAAAGCTAGTATTTTAAAAGTGAACATAATGCCCAATCATTTAACTAGGTGTACATGTCTCTGAAATTATTATAAACAAGAAGTGTTTCAAAAAAATAAATAGGAAATAACCATATTTAAATATATATATTGGAAACTTTGAAATGTACATATACTTTCATCCAATAACTTCACTTTCAGGGATTAATCCAAAAGAAGCATTGCAAATATGTGTGCATGTGCTCATCAAAGCAAAACTCGAATTAAACAAAATGTGAATACTGTGGAAATACACATACGCAAACACCCATGTAAGTTTGCACACATAAATGAAGAAATACTAAGTACTATTAAGTCATATTTATATAGAATATTAATGACAATTTTCAGCATAGTTCTAAAAGAATAGACTGCAGCTGTAAACAATGTAGGTCATGTGTACATGTGAGCACACATGCACATATGTTTGCACAAAGCATTCAGTCAAAACCATATAAAAAATTGTCTATATCAAGCTGAAAAGCTTCTGTACAGCAAAGGACTCCAACAATAGAACAAAAAGGTACCCTACAGTATGGGAGAATATATTCATAAATGACAGATTCGATGAAGAGTTGATATCCAAAATATATAAAGAGCTCACGTACCTCAACAAGCAAAAAGCAAACAATCTGATTAAAAAATGGGCAGAGTAGCTGAACAGACAGTTCTCCAAAGAAGAAATTCAGATGGCCAACAGACACATGAAAAGATGCTCCACATCGCTAGTTATTAGAGAAATGCAAATTAAAAACACAATGAGATATCACCTCACACCAGTAAGGATCGCCATCATCGAAAAGACAAACAACAAATGTTGGCGAGGTTGTGGAGAAAGGGGAACCTTCCTACGCTGCTGGTGGGAATGTAAATTAGTTCAACCATTGTGGAAAGCAGTATGGAGGTTCCTCAAAAAGCTCAGAATAGAAATACCATTTGACCCAGGAATTTCACTTCTAGGAATTTACCCTAAGATTTCAGCAGCCCAGTTTGAAAAAGACAGATGCAACCCTATGTTTATTGCAGCTCTATTTACAATAGCCAAGAAACGGAAGCAACCTAAGTGTCTATCAGTAGATGAATGGGTAAAGAAGATGTGGTACATATACTCTATGGAATATTACTCAGCCATAAGAAAAAAACAAATCCTACCATTTGCAACAGCATGGATGGAGCTAGAGAGTATTACGCTCAGTGAAATAAGCCAGGCGGAGAAAGACAAGTACCAAATGATTTCACTCATGTGGAGTATAAGAACAAAGAAAAACTGAAGGAACAAAACAGCAGCAGAATCACAGAACCCAAGAATGGACTAACAGTTACCAAAGGGAAAGAGACTGGGGAGGATGGGTGGGAAGGGAGGGATAAGGGCAGGGAAAAAGAAAGGGGGCATTACGATTAGCATGTATAATGTGGGGGGAGGGGTCATGGGGAGGGCTGTACAATGCAGAGACAAGTAGTGATTCTACAGAATCTTACTATGCTGATGGACAGTGCCTGTAATGGGGATTGTGTGGGGGACTTGGTGAAGGGGAGGGCCTAGTAAACATAGTGTTCTGCATGTAATTGTAGATTAATGATAACAAAATAAAAAAAATTGTCTAATGACAAAGAAAGGTATTACTCAAAATTTGACCTACCAATTGTGATTCCTTTTTGAGGCTGTATTAGGCAAATCAGTAGTCTCCAGAGATGGTAGATGTTAAGGTTTTATAAAAAATGCTGACATTGTGATACTTACCTAATATCACTGGCTATGTTATAAATCTGCAATAAAAATGTTAATAATTACTCTGTGCTAATGGTATAAATATAACAGCATGAAAAATAGAGGCTTTATAGTTAATATTTAATTAGCAAAATGAATGTTAAGTATGGCAAGCAAAAATTTGATACCATGGTTAAATTCTGATCATTAATAACATTAACATTGTTTTTCTCTACAGGATTCTTCGAGCAGTGAAGATTCTGATGACTCAAGTGAAGTCAAAAGGAAAAAGCATAAAGAGTATGTCTTTTTATTCAACTTAATGCTTTTCAAATCAGGAAAATCCTCATGATTTTACATTTCACTCCTTATGAAAAATTGTTGCCAAAAGTGGACTTTTGTAAATTGGTTCATGGCATATTTATTAGGTTAATTTAAATCATTAATCCTTAACATTTATGTTTCTGTGACCAGAGATTTTTATCTTATCTCCCATAACTCCTTTCTCCTATATTTTTTTTAAAGATCTAGGCATAATATCAGAAAATCTTAATGACTTGGGAAACATTGAGTAGGGATGAACAGATGATGGATTTGGGGTGATTATGTTAATTTATGTTAATAGCTATTCTTAACTATTGATCTGCACATGAAATTTATTTTCTTTGTGGAACTGATCTAGTAACTCACTATCCTGAAGATATTGACCCAGAAAGTCTTAAGAGTGCTTCAGATTCTCAGTTCAGATATTTGGATGGTCTGTCTTTTTTTCTCTTTATTTTTTCAAAAACATTATTCCATTGTCTTTTCTTTTATTTTTCTATTTGTCTTTGATATTCTTCACTTTCACTTTGGTGTGTCTTAGCTTTTGATTTGTTATTCATCCCACTTTATGAATTTTGTTTTATGCTTTTTTAATATTAAATTATCTTTTATTTCTGAAAAGTCAGTTCTTGTTATCTGTAATTTTTCTTTCTCGTTCTGTAAACCTCTCTAGTACTACTGTTATATAGTATATCGGTCTTATTGTATCATGTGTATTGTATGTATCTATTGGATCATCTGTCCTATCTATTATGAATCTTACTGTGGTTGTGTTTTTTTTTGTTTTTTTTTTTGAGAGGGCATCTCTCATATTTATTGATCAAATGGTTGTTAACAATAAAATTCTGTATAGGGGACTCAATGCACAATCATTAATCAACCCGAAGCCTAATTCTCATCAGTCTCCAATCTTCTAAAGCATAACAAACAAATTCTTACATGGTGAACAAGTTCTTACATAGTGAATAAGTTCTTACATGGTGAACAGTGCAAGGGCAGTCATATCACAGAAACTTTCAGTTTTGATCATGCATCATGAACTATAAACAATCAAGTAAGATGATTATTCATTTGATTTTTATACTTGATTTATATGTGAATCCCACATTTCTCCCTTATTATTATTATTATTTTTTTTTTAATAAAATGCTGAAGTGGTAGATAGATGCAAGATAAAGGTAGAAAACATAATTTAGTGCTGTAAGAGGGCAAATGTAGATGATCAGGACTAAGTATTAATCCAAGCTAGACAAGGGCAACAAACATCCATGGATGCAGAAGATTTCTCTCAAAACAGGGGCGGTGAGGTTCTAAGCCTCACCTGTTGATCCCCAATATCTCACCTGATGGCCCCCCTGCGACTGTGCCTGTCTTAGGTTGTTCCTCCCTTGAGGAATCTTACCCGTCTCTGGCTAACCAGTCATCTTCCAGGGCCATACAGGGAAATGTAAACTTGTTAAGTGAGAGAGAAGCCATATTGTTTGCAAAGGTTAGCTTTTTACTTCTTTGCAGATTTATGCCCTGTGGCTTCTATGCCCAGCA